GTTACATAAACTGATGTCACGTAGGTAAATACAAGTACACGACACCTGTCAGAGACAGAAAATATGACAAACATATCTTTCGTGATTCTTACAGGAGGGGTGGAATAACAGAGCATCATTCATATTCTGCTTTTCAGGAGTTTTTGGGGTGAAACTTCAAAATCTGAAAGGTGTTTCTGTGTGAATGGCCAGGCGATGAAATCTAACTGGGTTGCACTGCCTCACATATGGAAACTCCCATCTGTTCCTGGAATGTGGGCTGACGTGTGACCCGCTATTGATTAGGATCACATAATCGGGGCTCTGTCGTCATTGTCTGCTGCAGCCCGTCCAGCTTTGTCCCCTCTCACCACATTAACCAGAATCACAAGTGTTCAGGCATTCGCTCACACAATAATGGCCATTATAGCAGTCCCACCTTTTAATTCATGCGCTGCAAAGCGTTCCTCACTGCCGTTCTTTTGTTGTGAGTTTTTTTTTTTTCTTTTCTTGAATTATGAAATTCTAGATGTATTCAGGCACCAGAAGGGACAAGAAATGAAGTCATCGATGTGCTAAATATTCCTCTTTTGTTCTTCTTTAACTTCGAGAAGCTAGGAAACAGCACCCACATAGAATAGATGTGCTATGAATGCATTACAGGGGACCCTTGTAGGAGGGCTCTGTCTGCTGTCCTCATTTAGAACCAGTAAGCATTCAGGATGATAAGTGAAAAGCTGCTTCATGCTAACATATGTCAACCAGGATCATTCATTATAATGTTTGTTATATCACCTTTTTAAAACAAGGTGCTTTACAAGGGAAAGTTATTTTCACTCAAGGTCTCTAACCAAGAGAAATCAGGATTTTATATCAAAACCCAAAGTGCGAAGATATTACTAAATTCCCTGTGCATTGTCTGATTTATTTGTGAACATCATGAATGTGATTGCTCATAGAAAACAAGGGGAGGTTGCCACACAGATCAAGTCATTTCTCATGGCACACGTACAGTCTGTGAGGCAATTAAAGAGGCGAACGAAGAGGAATCTTGTTTTAAATGGGAATGTGGATCTTTCAGATTAATTTGAGGAGTGCCTCTGGTTTGCATGGTGTCATGCAGTATGAAACACGCACTGGTCTGGTTTTGGTCTTGACTCTGTCTCAACCTCTTTACAGTCTTGGTCTCGGTCTCCGTACACTCTGCTCTCGGTCATGACTTGGACTCGGATGAGGTGGTCCTGACTACAACACTGCTTGAGGGATATCGACATGTTTTTCTAGAAACCCCTTTTTTTGTTTTACAAAAGAAGCTAAACTTTTGGCGATTCAAATGTTCAATATTGTCAATAAACACAACCAGCCGTAAAAGAAGTTTCCCTAAATGAATTACAAAAGATCGAAGGTTGTTTATAGAGCTTCCAGATTATGTGAAAGCTCATACTGAACTGCTGGGAGTCCTTATTGGCTGCAATTAGATACCAAAGACCCCCCCCACACTACTTTTTCTCCCCCTCTTAATTGTCTCCATGCTCTTCTCCCATCCCTTAGAAGCCCACCAGTGGGACCTCTGAGAACACTGATGGGATCCCTCTCACTTCACCTTGTACTATAATTAAGCAGTAATGGCCCAGCACCGGTGCATGCCGTCTCATCATGGTGTTGTGTGTGTGTGTGTGTGAGTGTGAGTGTGTGAGAGAGAGAGAGAGAGAGAGAGCTGGGCCCGAGGCCTCCGGTCAGACTGCAGCCAAAGCATTCAGCGTCACAAGAGGTGCATGGCCCTGCCACGGCACATGCACACGACCTTTTACAAGAGCTGCTAGATGAGAAAACGTACTCGGGCGAGGTGGTTGCAAGTCTCCGCCGCAGCTCCACGGTGCCGGTGTTTGTGCAGCTGAGCGGTGTGTGTACTGCAGCAGCAGGTAAAGCAGAGGAGTCGAAAACAACTAGCTGCTGTCTCCTCCTCTCCTGCTTTTGGAAAGGTAAACAAGACTATTCTAACCCGCAACGCGAATGACATACGTGTTTGGCTTGGATGTTTGCTCATGCACATTTAAAAACATGCGGACTGACGCTTATCGGCCAGCCCTGTTGACACAGCCGGCTACTAGCCACACACCATGTTTTGCTCTGTTGCCGTAAAAGGCACACCTTGGATAATTGGTTTAGGCCACAAGCATCTCCAAGTTCATTAGTCAGGGTTGCCAGGCCAGCAGAGTGAGTTGTGTTGAAAGACGCGAGACTGGGCTTGTTTTTTCGATGTGAGGCAAATACAGTGAACGATCGCTGCGTGAATTATCAGCCGTCGCTGTGTATTTATCTCCTAAAATTGTGGCGTGAAGCCCTGGAGAACTATCAACACATACCAGATGATCGTATCCCCTTTGTATGACTGTGTTTGTTTTCCCACAGCGTCATTGTTTTGCTGCCTGCTAAAAATAGAACAAAACATGTCCACTTATCAACAGGCAAAGAGACAAAAGGAATTGGCCAGACAAACCAGTTTTGATCCTATTTATAGATGCGAACTTCGCTCAAAAGATTGTTTCATGCAGTTGTGTTATTAAAAGTTTTTCCTTCCCCATTCATCTGAAATAGATGCGGACGTGTTAGCCGTTGTGCTCCACTGTAGTCTCTTTGTATCTGTAGCTGTATCACCAGTGCAGGACAAATGAGCCCATGGTGGAACAAGGTAAGATCAAGCCTTTATGGGGTGATTGAATGAGACGGAGGGGACTAAACACTGTGCGTTCATAGATACGGATGGCTGCTCTTCTTCCTGGAGAGCTTTAAGTGCTGGCGGGCAATTTCTATTTTATCTTTTTACAGTGTACAGTTGAGACCCTGACAATCCACACAGCAGGGTTTTTTAAAACTTAAGTATTAGGATGTTTTCACAAAGTTCTGTCTTTACTGTTTTCTCATTTACAGTAGAATGTTTGTTTTGTGTCTTTTTTATGTTTTGCTTAGATTTGACCTTTGTTTGACTTTGATCTCGTCTGCGGAAAGAATGATGAACAAATGAGAGCTTCAACATGTCCAGTGTTGTTTGCAGTGTACTGCTCAAACAACAATGTATGATATCATGTTCATTTCGGGTGTGGTTGGGTGGCTCACAGCTCTCTCAGCGGTCCACGAGTCCAGTCCAGTTGTTAACAAGGGCAGCGGGTCTCGCTTGTCTCTCTCCCTTTTTTTTTTTTTTTTTTTGTTTTTCCCTCCTCCCCATAACAGTGATGCAGCTTAAACCAAAGCTATGGGGGGGAGGGGAAAGTTGGAGAGCCGGGAGAGTTCAGCCTAGTTTTACAGCTTCAGCCCTCACTTCCCAGCGCTTAGACAGTGATCGATGGGCTTAGACATGCTCTGTAGGACAGGCGGTGTGGGTGGGTTAGCTCATTTTGTTGTGTCCTCCTCCCCCATGAGGTACTTCACCAGGGAAGTTTGCTCGAATTTGAAAGAGTGCGTGAGAGAGAGAGAAAGAGAGAGACGGAGGAAAAGCTGCACTGCCAGTTGCGTGTGAAAAGGCTGATTTGAAACTGAACGCGCTTGAGACATTGTCTCTCATTTTGCATGCAACATTTCTGTGAGGAGCTTAGCAGAAAGTTTGACAAAGGGAAACATTGTTCACCCCTCCGAGCTGTAAATTAATTTGTTCTTGAATTAGCCAGCAGCTTCTTTTCCTATGGAAAATACTCATTCTATATTTAGTATGACAAGGCCTTCTAAATGAGTTGTCTTCCCTCGTGGTCGAGAGCTGTGGCTTGTCCTGGGTTAATACGCTGGCCGCAGCTGAAGGATGCCAGGAATAACCCAGCTGTGTCGCACTGACCTCTTGGAACTGGGCAGCGCTCCAGGTCTCAATTAAGTGATGCTCTCTCTTTCCAGAAAAGGCAATAATATTTAAATGGGGTTCGCAAGAGTTATAGCATTTTCTCTGTCAACGCTGTAATGGCACTTAACCGAAGAGCTTTGTGGACCTGGACGTGGGAAAAATAAACGTGTGCAGTGTTCCTTTAGAACAGTGTGACGGCTGTACTGTATTTTCATGAAATGAGAAACTTCACACATTCAGAAGGTCACTTGAGTAGTTACACTGTTGACTTCTTTGGAATCTTGTTGCCTCCCACCCGTTACCAGTGTAATCTGTATTAGTGAACATTCCCAACATCCTCTCATTGTGAGAAATGAGCTGATACAACTCATCAGATGGAGCTGATTAAACTTATTGTGGTGAGATGCACACAGCAGCACGGCTCTCCCTCCAAAACACCATTAAGGTCGTACTGATACTGTGTATCAGGCTGACAGAAAATAAAATGAAAAAGTCTTATACCCCAATACCTCAGCAGCACTTCAGCTACACATGGAAGATAAGATCACAATCTGCACATCCTGGGGAAAAAAAGAGAGAGAGAGAAAGCAAATGTGTTGCTGCTAAAAGAACTGCTAACGTGTCGAAATAGCACTTCAGTAACGTTTTGTGTGAGGATTGATGGATCTCCTCTCAAAAAATACATATACAGTAT